CAGCCCTGCCCGATGTGCCCCACATTGTAGATGTCGTACTGTGCCAGCCACCCCCAGGACAGACGTGCGGTCCATCCTGAGGAGCCACAGCCTGGCTTCTCGGGCCACGTCCCCAAGGCCAGGCCGAGTGCGCCGCCCTGGGTCCTGCCTCCCACCCTGGTGAGGACACCCCAAGAAGACCCCATGCTGCCATTTTCTCCTCTGTGTCATCTACATGTCTACAATGACAGTGCATTCTTTTGTCACAAAAGCGTCATCAGTGGCGGTGGTGGTTGTTTCAGTCTCAGCTCTGCCCTGTCACTCTGTCCCCTTCCCTCTGCCCAGTCGCTGGGTCCCGTCCCCAGGAAGGTGCAGGCTCCAGTCTTAGGGTCCAGGCTGTGAGTGGCCGCCCGGGCAAGGCCAGTGGAGAGACAGACGTGCTTTATGAGCTCAGGTCAGGAGGGCTCCTCGGAGCTGGGGGTGGGAACTGCTTTCCCATGTCCAGGCGTCCAGGCATGTGGCCCCAATGAGTGACTGAACTCACAGAGGCGAGTCAGGGAGATAGAGATGGGACGCAAACCCACGGGCTGCCCGGAAGGGTGACCGAGTTACAGCATGCCCACCTGTCATCCCTCCCGGGATGTCACCTTGCCTTCTTGTCAGCGGCTAAAAAGGAGAAACGTGACAAAAAGGGCAGAATGCGCATGGCGGGTGGCGTCCATTCCTCCCCACACAGACTCACCTGGAGGACCCGACCACGGCTCGCTCAGCACCCTCCTCCCTACCAGGGACAGCTGTTTTCACCCGTGGACACTGTCAGCCCTGTGGGATGGCATCTTGCTAACCACACTGGCTGCTCCCAGTCCCAGGTTTGCAGGGGGCTTGGGCGTCCACTCCAAGCCCCCACTGCTCCTCATGCTGATGGCTGACCGACGCACCCCATCCCCTTTGCTCCACTCATTTCAAGTTACATTTTGTTTCGATGCCCACAAGGTCTTCACATCGACCCTTCAAACCTTCCTGGATGAGATGGGCCACACATAAAGGCCTCTTAGCTAAGAAAAGCATAACTTTAGTTCTTCGGGGATGAGGTGGGGTTAGGTTAGGTCCGCTCAGCT